CGTCCTTGGCCGAAGGAAAAGGCTGAAGTCAGGCCCTCTGAGCGCGGACTTCTGGACTTCCGTTGGCCGCCTCCCGCTCGAGAAGCTCGGAAATGGGCGTCCAGGGCCCTCGCATCCTTACCGTGCGTCCTTCTGGTACGGGTGGACTGCACGAGGAGACAGCGTGCGCAGTCGCGTGGATTCGAAGAAGCTGTGAAGGGGAGGGCCTAACTCTCACATAAGCTGGCAGGTGCTGTTCCCTGTCGCCATTCCGGACGAGGGCACGTTCGACTGGCTGGATGGATTCTTGGAGGAGCTTGCTGTTGACAGGGGTCGGCATCGCGACACCCGAGCATGTATTGCAGGCAGATGCTGAAACTCTAGGGGTGCGGAGTGTTTTGGTGGAGTTCTCTTCGTCTCTCCTGGTGGTGCCAACGGTCGCTTCGACCACGAATGAAGACTTGGGTTGGTGTTCATCCTTTTTGCGTGCACTCTGCAAGATGCGCTGCAAGGACCACTTTTTTTGAGGAGTCTTACGAGAACGCCCCGCCAGCCAGTGTTTCATCTCCCCCTCTGGTTGGGACCTCATCCCTGGGTGGTTTCAGCCTGGCCTTCTCAAGACGGCGTGGTGCCGCACCGCCAACGCGGTCTAACTCAGCCGCATTTCTCTCGGCACGGGGAAGCAGTAAGCGACCACCCATTCTCGGCACGCCCGGGGGTCCCCATCGTCCCGGGAAGGCGCGCAAGCAATCGCAATGGGGTTGAACATGCAGTGAAACCCTTGGCAAGATGAATCAGGCTCGCTTGAGCCTTCCCATGCTCACGATCAAGAGCAGGGACACGGAACTCGAAAGGCATATTACATTCATAGCATTCGTTGCCATATGCTTCAGAGCATCAGCGATGCGCCTTCGGACCCGCATGCAAAGCGGCGTGCATCACTGCTATCTCACGGACCGTGGTACATCGAAGGCGCGCATGGGAAAGGATTCTCGAGAGAATTGTACCTGATCGCGAGGGGAATGGTCATAGAGATGGTTCGCTCTTTTCATCCGGGCACCTTCTTGAAGGCATGTAAGCACATATGCGCAGCCGTGCTGCTGCTCCCCCCCTCCCTTCTCCGCCTCTTCCCTCCCCTCATCCCATCTCAATCCACTCTCCGATGCGCCCACCTCTCCGCCATCCCCCCTCGCCTCGGCAGAGCAGCATGTCCCCGGGATCTGTGTCTGCTGGCCACGGCAGCAAGGATCACCCCGAGTTCACCGAGTTGAGCGACAGGGCGATTGTCGATTGGGCCATCAAGAGTGGCGCCGAGCTCGGAGCGATGATTGCTCACGCAGCTCGTGGTCGTCAGCGTCTCTTTCGCGAGGCTTCTCAGAAGCCCTCGCGCCTTCTGCGAAGGCTTAGAACACTTCTCAGAAGGCCGGGCGACTTCGGAGCCTTCTGAGAGGGCCCGCCCCTTCTCACATCACCCCCTCGCTCGCCGCCGAATGCCAGCAGTCGGCGCGTGGGACGCCACGCTGTCGCAACTGCGCCTCGGGGCTGTCGGTGCGCCCGTGCGGCACGATGTCGCACTCGGCGCCAGCATTGTAATTAACCTCGTCGTGCGACGTTTCGGGATGTGTAGGTTCAACGTGTGTGTGTGTTGGTGTGTGAAAATGTGTGTGCCCCCCCACACACACACTTGCTTGCGCTGTGGCTGCCGGCTCCCCCCCGTGGGTGCGCCCGCGACGCCGCCCCGCGCTCGCTGCCAGGGGCTGCCCTGCGGCCTGGCCGCCCCGCGCGCTCCCCGCGGCCTCGCCGCGCGGGTGCGCCCTCGTTGCGCCGCTCCGTTCTCTGCGGCCGCTCCTCGTCCTCTTCCCGCCTCGTGCATGCGGGGCAGTGCGCAACTCCGCAGCGGCCCGGGTTGCCTGGACGCGCGTGTGGACGTAAAACAAAGGGTGCATGGTGTGTGTGTGTGTGTGTGTGCCTCTGCGTGTGTGTATCCACTGCTTCGAAGCCGCTGGGGGCAAGGAGTGGGGTCCACATGGAGGAGTGTAGGTTCGTATGCGTGTCGACAGCTCGAAGGCACCCGATGACATTCAGATCGGGGTGCGGATGCTCCCGGGGGGTTGGGTGGCCTCCTCTGCGACCGCCTCGGGCGTCGCGAACAGCGACACAGTCTGTGATGACGGCCTTCCTCTTTGGAGGGTGAGAAGTACGATAGCACATCACTATAGTTCTCGCCCGTCTTGGATTGCATGTTCTATATATATATATATATATATATATGTATTCCGGCGAATTGCGCCCAGGTAGCGCCGAATAGCGTTCAAACGCCGCCAATTGCGACCATAGCGCCCAATGGCACCATGTGGGGGAGGTACATTGTCTTCGTGTTGCCCGCGATTGGGCGCGCTATTGGGCACCATTGGGAAGACTAGAATCTTCCATGGGTTGCTTCCCAAGAAAAGGGCGTGGACGGCGAGGGCTCCAGGAGGATCTGCACGTCGAGGCTCACCATGGCTCTCTCTCGCCCGGGCTGCCCTGCAGCATCCCCTAGGCGGTGTAGCGTCCGCACCGTGCAGGATCCACTGCGATCTGATCGATCCAATTCGATACCGATTCCGGTCGGCTTGATCCGATCCGATTCCGACGTTCTTTCGATCCGATTCTGCCCGACGTTTGCATGGCGTTATTGTGCGTCTTGGCGCGGCCGTGTCGATTCGAGTCCGGCTCCGTGCCGATGCGGCTCGACCCGATTTACATTCCGATGCGATCCGATTTCCCGGTTCGATGCTGGCTGATCTTGGTCGTGTAGTAAGCCAAAGAGTGGCGAGTTGTCTTGGCTCGCCCATAGGCCCACCAAGGAATGTTCTAAGAACCCTTTGTGGTCTGCACGATGTGTTCTCAGAACATTTCTGGCTGAGACCGTCGTGTTTTAAGACGTCGGGCTCATGTTACAGTAACCTTCAGGCTCTCAGTACTTGTCGTGGTAGGCCTATAGGAATGCCGAGACGGTCGGTCCTGGCTCAAGGAAGTCGGTGGGGATTCCGCTTGAGTTGGGCCTGTCCCCCTACAGGTGGATTTTCGACGGAAAATTAAACATACCCAAAAATCATCCCAAAATGGCCCAAGAATAGTCTGGGGACTCTTTTTTTTGCGTATTTCTTTACCTTTCTGGGGTATTATTGTTATCATCTTTCTCGTCGAAAATCCCATGGTAGGCCTATGGTCATGCCGGGACGGTCGGTTCCGGCTCAAGGAAGTCGGTGGGGATGCCGCGTGGCCGCGCGGGCTGGGGACCTGACCCGGACCCTCTGGACGCCCGAAATGGGTACGGAAAGAATGGGTGCAATGCCCAACAGCAGTTCCTGTTCATTTTGAACAGGGCTCGCTGTCCGCGCCGCCGCGGCCTGTGTCCATTCGAGACAGAAGGCCGCCTGCCCAACAGCGGCCGCTGTTGGTTTGGGACAACATTTGCTGTTGGGCATTGTACCCATTCTTTCCGTACCCATTTCGGGCGTCCAAATCAAGGAAGTCGGTGGGGATGCCGCGTGGCCGCGCGGGCTGGGGACCTGGCCCGGACCCGTGCCGCGGAGGTCGCTGGGGAGGAGCCCGAGGGCACCGCTCAGGGCCGTCACCGCACCGTCCTGGGGCCCCGAGGTGGCTTGCAGCCGGGCCGTACTCACCAGCCTCGAACTTATCCCAGCCCCTAAGATTGACACGCTACAGTTTGGACGCCCGACATGGGTACCGAAAGAATGGGCACTATGCCCAACAACAAATGTTGTCCCAAGCCAACAGCGGCCGCTGTTGGGCAGGAGGCCGTAGCAGAAGGATGCGCGAGACTCGAGGGCGGCAAAGATCGAGGGAGCGTAAGACCCGGGTTTGCCAGGACTCGGGTTCGCCATCGTTTTTTGACGACCGCGCCTCGGATTTTGACGAGGAGGAGTTTCTCGGGATGTCTGCAGCGGGAGGCCTCGTCAAAATGCAGGCTCGGCCTCGTCATTTTTTTGACGACCTCGTCGGGGAGTTCCGAGTCCCCTGTACCCAGGTCTTACGTCCCCCTGATAAGATTGACACGCTAAAAGGAGATGACAATCTTAGGGGTGCACCCTCAGAAACTGAGGAAATCCCTAAGATCGCCATCGTGACGATGCGATGCCCAACATAGGGATAGGGGTATGTTCCAGGCTGGTAACGTATCATAAGGATGCGCGGGAATCGAGGGCGGCAAAGAGGTGGGTCATGACTAGGGTTAAGTCGGGCCTGCGTCCCTCTCTAGAAGGGCGTATGGGGACGATGTTTTGTTTCTTTTGGTATTTTTGTTGTTTTTTGTGTGTGTGTGTGTGGGTATTTTTCATTGTTCGTCCAACATCCCCCTGTAGGGGAACATGCAAAACCTAAGACTATGTATCATGGCGTCGGCCATAATGTTTCCTCAGATTTCACGGCGCCTCTATTTTCTTCATTGCGTCCCTGGCCCCCCCTTGGCCGCGCACATGCCGCCGGCCATGAGTTGCGCCCCCCCACCTCCCCCTCTTGGACGCCCCCCTCTTTGCCGCCCCCGATCTTGGGGCCCCGACATGGCTTACAGTCGGCCCGTATCATAAGGATGCACGAGGAGGATGCAAGGGCCTTGGACGCCCATGCCGAAGCTTCTCGAGCGGGGCGCGGCCGACGAATGTGGCCAAGGATGGACCGAGGAGGCGAGGATGCAAGGGGTACCCTTGGGAAGGTTGCCCATCCTTACTATGCGGGTTGACTGTACCACGGTCCTCGTCGCCGCCAGACCCCGATCCTTTTCTCTGGGTGGAGGGCAAAGGGTAAAATCTGAAATGCCGTTTCGATGGATTGTCGAGGTTCGAATGTGCAAAAGGTGAATCACAAGACGGATTGACATTCGAGGTGCAGAAGAGCCCTCCACCCTGAGAGAATGCTCAGAGACCACCCCGCCCGACAATCCCCTTTCGCCCCCCTGTCCCCGCCACCTGGCAGCACGTGGCGGTGCGAGAGCCCCGGCCGGCCCCGCCCGAGGCATGCACGCCGCGCCGGGCAGCCAGTGGAACAGCTCCAACGACAAGCCCAGGCCGGAGGGCGAGGAGAGACCAGGGTCGGATTGGGCCAGGACAGGAGTAGACCGTTGCAGACGAAGGCTTCAGAGCGCTCTGGAACGGCCGCGGCGACCCAAAGAAGGAAAAGGGAACCCATGTCGCTACCCTTCGCCCGTTTTCCCCTGTCTCGGCCTCCTGGGAGGCCCTCGTCGCCACCGCTGGATTCGCCTCGGAATCCTGGCCAGAAGGCGCCCCATGGGAGGTCTAGGGAGAAGCGGTATCGGTACATGTTGGCTTCCCCAGAGACCAGGGTCGGCTTGGGCCAGGACCGGAGCAGATCGTTCCAGAACAAGTCTTGAGAGCGCTTTGGAACGGCCGCGGCGACCGATACATGTTCCAGAACCTCCGCTTCTCTGGGATCCCCATCCTGTCCCGGCCCTGGCTCTGCATGACGGGGGTAAGTGCAACCCTCGTCAAGAAGGTGCACGTTTTTGTTCTTCGTACTGAGATTGGCCTGGCTCCAGCCGGTCTCGCCTCTGCCTCTCCTCTGGCAAGATATGTTGATCTTCGGATGGTCGGGACGACCAGAGGCTGCCATCGGAGGGGCCCCCCCTTCCTCCTCCTCCTCCTCCTCCTCCTCCTCCTCCTCCTCCTCCTCCTCCTCCTCCTCCTCCTCCTCGGGAGGGAGGCTCGGGAGGGGCCAGGCCGCCCGCGCTCCTCCGGATGGGGCGACAGGCCGCGCACGGCCCGGGCTCGGAGTCCCGCGCCTTGTACAGGAAGGGTCCGGTTCGGGCCGGTTCGGGCCTGTTCGGCGGCGGGCCGGTTCGGTTGCACCAGTTCGGTTTTCGGCGCCGGTCCGCGGGACTGGAGCGTAGCGTGTTCGTCCTGGGTCCGGTTTAGTGAAGTGAAGAATTTTGGGGTGCTTCTTGGGGGCCCTCTTGGATCCGATTGGGGGCCTCTTGGGACTTCCCGAGAACCTCTCGGGGTAGAAAGCTCGGATTCTCGGTTCGTGTTTCCCTTCTTGGGCCTCTCTTGGGGCCGTCTTGGGGCCCTCTCGGGACGTCTTGGGCGCCTCAGGCGCCGCCTTGGGGCCCTCGTGGGCCGCGCAGGGCCCTCTTGGAAGCCTCTTCGGCTATCTTGGAGCTGTCTGGGAGGCCTCTTCCTCCTCCTCGTCCCCATCCTCCTCCTCCCACTGCTCCCGCCACCGTGCCCTGGGTGGTGGGTCCGAGGCCTCATGGGTGTTGGTTTGGATCTCGTGGTTGGCCTGTCGGGGACGTCGTGAAGGCAATTTCGCAGCTTCTCGGTAGCCGTTTTGGGACCGTTGTGGGGCCTCCTCGGGGCTGTCTTGTGGCCTCTTTAGGCTTCGTTTGGGCCTCCTGGGTGCCTCTTGGGGGCCTCCTGGGGCCTCTTGGGGGCTCCTTGGGGCCTCCTGGGGCACTCTTCAAGCGGGAGGGTCGAATTTTGGAGTCGTGGTCCCCCTCTTGGGCGCATCTTGGGGCCGTCTTGGGGCTCTGTTGGGCTGTCTTGGGCGACTCTGGGGCCGTCTTGGAGCCCTCTTGGGCCGTCTTGGGGCGCTCTTGGAGGTCTATTGAGCCGTCTTGGAACGTCGGACAGCCGAAAAGGCTGGCAGGCCAGCGAACGTCGTGGTCATCCGACGGGACCTCTCGGGCCGCGTCGGCCGTCCGAAGGGACGCCCTGGGCTCTCCGAGAGGGCACCATCAGCCTCTCCAGATAAAGCTTGCTCGTTGTTCCAAAGGGAGCTCGCCAGTTCCTGGGCCACACGGCGGGACATCCTGGGCCTCCCGAGGATACCTCTTCGGCCCACCGAGAAGGCTTCGTTGGGGGGAGACTGCGTTCGCCTCCCCAGCCCCCGAAAGAGAAGTTCCGTCCTCTGCAGGGACCTCCATCGGCCATCTGGGAGCACCTCTGGGCGTGCGCGCAAGCACAGTGCAGCGCGCCTGGCTGAACCCCACACCCTCCTGCACTCCAGGACGACTGCAGCTGGCGGACCCTCGGGGACCCAGCGTGCAGGACGTGCATCCCGAGGGCTTGCCCCAGGGGGCCCTCGTCGGGCCCAGGAGTCGTCAATGCACGGCCCGCGATATGAAAAACTACAACTTGTTCAACGGCGATCCCCCCCCCGCCGGTCGACGACCCCCCCGAGGGTCGACGACCCCCCCGGAAGTCGACGACCCCCGAACCGAACCGCCCAAAACCAGACCGCCGCCCGACCCGAACCGGCAGAACCGACCGGACTCGCCAAACCGGACCGGCTCAAACCGAGGGCCGAAGTGATTCCCGCAGCGGGCCGAAGGGAGGCTCCTTGGGTACCCAAGCAGTATTTGCGAGGTGCCCAACACTGTAGTGTCGGAGGGCCCAAACACCGTGCCAGCCCGCGCAGCATTCTGGGTGGCGACTGCTCGAGGGGGCACGGGAGGGCGTCACTTGCAGCCTTGTCGTGTCCGATGATTATAGGATGATCGGTGATGATGATGCTGATGATGTTTATGATGAAACTGATGATTATGATGATGATGCCGATGTTGATGATCATGCTGATGCAGATGCTGATGATGATTATGGTGGTGAAGATGATGATGCTGATGGTATTGATGATGATATTGATGATGGTGCTAATGATGATGATGATGATGATGATGATGATGATGATGATGATGGTGGTGGTGGTGGTGGCGATGATGATGATGATGATGATGATGATGATGATGATGATGATGATGATGATGATGATGATGATGATGTGGAGGAATATGGTACCGGCCATGGCGGTGTTTTTGATCATGATGATGGTTGCGGTGGTGATGATGGTGAATTTTGGTGATGATGATGATGATGATGATGATGGCAGGGGTGATGATGATTATGGTGATCGCGACGACGAGGATGCGGATAAGGACGAATATGAGGATGATGATGACGATGATGCTACTGAAGATGATGATGAGGACGAGGACGAGGATGAACATGATGATGGTGATGATGATGACGATTCTGATTATGCTGATGATGCTGATGAGGATGAGGATGAGCATGATGATGATGTTGATGATGGTGATGAGGATGATAATGGTGGTGATGATGATGGTGATGGTTGTGGTGGTGGTGATGCTGCATGATGATGATGCTGCTAATGGTAATGATGCTGATGATGATGCTGATGATGTTTATTGTGATCATGATCATGATGATGTTGATGATGATGATGATGATCATCATCATCATCATCATGAAACTCGTCTGGGCCGTCTTTGGGCTGTCTGGGCCTCCCGTGAGGCAGTCTTGCGGGTCTCTTGGGGCAGTCGTGGTGCCCTCTCACGCTTGCTTGGGGTCCTTTTGGGCCGTCTTGACCGTCTTGGATGCCTCCTGGGCCATCGTGGAGTCCTCGTGGGCCGTCGTGAGTTGACGGCAGCCCGAGAAGGCGAGAACGTGAAAATCATTCAAAAGCCGAATTGGCATGAACGATCTTGCCTTCTTCGGACCCTGTAAGAGTCCTCTTGTGGCCATTTTGGGTCATCTAGGAGGCTCCTTAGGCCGGCTTGAAGCAATATTCTGCCTTCTTGGGACCATCTTGTGCCGTCTTCGAGGCGTCTTGGGCCATCTTGGTGTCTTTGGTTGCCTGCACGGGCCGTCGTGGAAGCTCGGGACGCACATCCATTTCTTTAAAAAGGAAGCGTGGCCTCTAGCAGCCATGCGGGAAGTGCGCAGTCTTCGAGCAGGCGCGCATGGAATGAAGGTTCAGGCATCAGCTGCCGTGTTGGAAGTGCACCATCCTCGAGCGGGCACGCGTGGAAGGGGGGTCAGGCATTCGCTGTCATGCTGGAAGTGCACCATCCCTCAAGCGGGCACGAGGAAAGTGGCCTGGGTGAGTAGGCGGGATGCACGCAAGAGCCTGCGTTTAGAGGGGGGGAGTGGTCCCTTATTAGATCTCGAGAATCCCACCAGCCCTTGGCAGTGTTCCACGCTTCAACGTTCCAGGGGGCACGGTGGCGGAATTCGGAGGACCCAAGAGTATGTCCCCCAATAGGGCTCTTCGGAGGGCGGAAGGTTCACCGGGTGGCGGGAGGGTGGTTTGAGTTTCCCGCGCGGAGTTCAGAGCAGCCGCATCATTGTCACCAGTGCCTGCGTCACAGATGGCTGCGCAACGTTTTTGCGATGCCTGTCATGAGAGGTGAGAGCTCCACAAAGAACACGCGCGCTTGCACCTATGCATGATGCACGCATGCACGTGAGATACATACGCGGGAATGTGCGCAGCCATTTTTGCACGTCGCACGTGTTTACGTTCGGCGTTTTCGGGGCTCATCTACGTGCAACCCGATTGAGAAACGCAAGGATGATGATGAGAAGGCTGAGATGCAGAAAGAGGAGGAGGAGGAGGAGGAGGAGGGAAAGGAGGAGGAGGAGGAGGACCAGAGTAATCCTGGACTGCGTGAACGATGTTGCCAGACATCACTTCCAATCCCCTCATACATCCCTGCAAGCCTTTCTTTCCATTTTGAAGCTTGTGGACATCGCTCCCGCTATAAACCAAATAACAGCATGCCATTGTAGCCTGAGCCCCGCTTCGAACAGGATTCGCAATGCACCTGTTCTAGAGGGCTACAGAGAAGTCGAAGCCATGTGCAATTGTAAAGTTCACCGATGGGTGCAACCATAGCCTCGACTCGAGAAGCAGCACGCCCCAATCTCGTGTGACGGTTGCACATGTCGGCGTGCTTACACTTTTGGTCGGTGCATTCGAGGAATGTTCGCGCGGGAGCCCATTGTTGAAAAGGAACGGCGTTCGCCCACTCAGTCGCTGTATATTGTCAAGCTTTCTGCTGTCAGATTTGAGTAGCCTCCAGCGAACGCCCCAGTGTACAAGGGAGCCGTCCCCCACCCTTGTAAATGCTGCAAGTGCTTTAGACGAATGGGCGCGGTGCTGGGGGGGCAAACCCAATTTGAGAAGTAGCGGGCCTCCATAGCCGTGCTAGCTCTTTTACAAGCCCCCAAGACAACTGTGCCCGGCGCCAAGGTGTAAGAGCCCCATCTTTCAACATGTGTTGTCCTTTCTTGTTGTAATTGTCGGAAGTTTTGAAAACGAGCATGCGTGGTGTTGAGGCGAGAAGCTCATTTTGATGACGACTGGCCCTCCATCCCTGTGAACTGCTGGAAGCCCTAAAGACGAATGTGTGCGGCGCCAGGGCGAGTGCCACATCTTGAAAGCGACCCCTTCTATCCGCGTGTCTGCTTGAATGTTTGAGCTTCGGGACTGATCAATGGGGAGGAAGTCTCAGGCTAAACGCCCAGCCCGCCCTATCGACCCGTCTGGTGGTCAGACGAGGAGAACCTCTCTACAAGGAAGAGGGATGGAGGAGGAGGAGGAGGGGAAGGAGGAACAGGAAGCAGGAGGCCCGGGAAAGGGGGGAGCGGGGAGAGTAGGAGGGAGGGCGGAAGGAAGAGGGACGAGGGAGGGGGATAAGAAAGAAGGGTTGAGAGATGCGGGATCGACGAGGAGGAGGAGGAGGAGGAGGAGGAGGGGGAGGAGGAGGGGGAGGAGGAGGAGAAGGGGGAGAAGGAGGAGGATGGGGAGAAGGCGGAGGGGCAGGAGGAGGAAGAGGAGCATGAGTGAGCGGAGGGAGGAGGCGGCAGAAGGGAGGAGAGGGCGGAGGGGCGTAGGGAGAAACAGGCCCAACTTCGGGGTGCAACCGCTGGACGACCTGTCGGTGCGGCGTCTCGTGCACGTGGCCGCGCAGCTCACCCCCCGCCACTACGTGGTCATGGAGGCGCTGGCCCTTGCGCCGTCCTCGCCGTCGCCCGATCGTCAGTCGGGTGCGGCTTGGGCTGCGCACGGACAGCCCCCCCCCCAGGCTGTCCCTGCTGGCCCGAGCAGGACCCCCGAGTAGTCCGGAGTGGTCTCAACACCCCGGCGCTGCCTCCGGCGGCACCCCCGGGGCGTTTCGCGCCCGAGGGGTGGGGTATTGAGACCACCCCAGGCTACTCTCAGGAGGGGATAAAAACACAGACGCAATTAATCGTCGACTCCCCAGAAAATATTGGAAAATATGGGAAGTGGCGGGGAAGACAAAAAACCCGAAAATATGGGTAATATGTTTGTTTGTGTGTATTTATTTGTGTGTCCCTGGGCCCCTTCATACTCGGCGGGCCTGTTGAGTTGGGCGTTGTGTCAGGGGGGGGGGGGCATACATGGGGGGGCGAAGACAGGTGCACCTTTTGCACCGTCAAGGGGGGGGGGTCGAGGGCCGAGAAATGGGCGAGTGTCTTTCCCCCCATTCGTAAGCAGCGCCCGATTGAGGCCAGCCGGGACTACCAGGGGGGGAGCTGTTTGTGCACAGCCCGAAGCCTTGGGGCACGTCCAAGAGTGGTCATGGAGGCGACGGCCCAGACGTCGTCCAAGCCGCCGCCCGAGCGGCAGTCGGGGGCGGCCAAGCTCAGACGCCCTCGCGTCTTTTCAAAAGTAGCAGGCGATAAGCGCTACCTTGTTGTGTAAATGTCTGGCGTCGGGGCCCTCGCTGGGCCCAGGGGCCGTCGAGAGACGACTCGTGAGGAAGAGCTGGTCCCAAGGAAGAGGTCGAGCCTTCTGTCTGGATCCGACGTTGTGACAAAGTTACAACGATGGGGATCTGGGAGAAATGGGCAAGGGGGAGAGAGATCGGGACGGGGATTCGGAAGGAGAGCGGAGCAGGGAGGAGAATGAGGGGCAGGAGGGGGCGGGAGGGGGCAGGATCGGGAGTGTTGGAGGGGGGTGACGACAAGGTGGATGTGGATATACAGTCGGCCCTGATTAGTAGGTCGACCCTCCCAAATCAAGAGTACCCTTGTGTCCTGTATCTCGCGACCCATGCCTCCGACATTCCTATGGCAATGTGGCCCTCGGAAGGGTCTTGTGTCCTCTCGCGTGTCCTGTCCAATCGAGTCCGACTGTATCACAGCGGGGGCAATGAAAAGTCCCTCAGATTTCATGGCCCCCGATGCCTCTTTCACACGTTCCCAGCCCTCTTCCCCCCTCGTCCGCCTGGATCGTCGGGCGGGCCTATCGAGGTGCAACGTCAGGCGGGAAGGGCTCAGGGGGGAACGCATCAATCCCTCATCGCCGATAGGGATTATGACAGCCCGCCCCGCCCTGGAAGCACAACTTGGGATGTGGTCATGGAGGCCAGGGCGCGGGAGGCATCCCCCTCGCCGCCAAATCGGTAGTCTGGTCGGACGAATGGGGGGAGGTCTGTGTGTACGGAATCGGTTGCATGCAGCATGTATCCGCCCCGCCGTGCGGCGCCTTTACTCATTAAACCGGTTGCGTGAGCTAATTGCGAAACACCGGTTGCGTAAGCTGTATGCGCCCGCGTGCGGGAGGCGCCTCAGAAACCAGTTGCGTGAGCTAATTCGCGAACACCCCCTTCGCTACCTCCCCGTTCGTCCGCCCCGATCTGCCGCTGCCTGATCGTCAGGCAGGCCTAGGATGGTCATCGTTTTCTCATTCAGTGTTTTGCCGATCGGCGCGGGCCCTCGCAACCCCCCCGTCCCCCCCCTCCATGGAGTAGATCCTGGCTGCTTTTGGCGCCTGTATCGAGCAGGTGGAGTCCCCCCAAAGGAAACACAGTTGCAATGAGTCGCGCTGAGCAGAGGTCCAGAGCCAGATCCCCTCCCCCTCCTCCCACCGCCCAAGGTCGAAACACGCCCCGAATACGAAAGCGCTCGCATGAAGATCACTTTGCCCCAGGGGGCGCAGTAAGCACGGCGCACACAGAAATTTTGAAGAGGCTCGCGCGAACTTCTTCTCGGATCGGCGCTGGGGACCTCCCTCTGGCGGCGCTCTCGGCTCCGCGCCTGGCGCGCGTCGCGCGCCAGGGTTAAGTCGGGCATGTCCCTTTACAGGGGGAATATTCAAAAATAGAAAAAATCGTCTGGGGACGATGTCTCTATTAGTCTTCGAATATTTTCGAGCATGTCTTGGGGATGTATAATTTTTCCTCCCGAAATCCGCCTATGGGCCCTGAAACGACAGGGCCGTTTTTTTACCGGTTCCGTTTTGCCGTTTTTTTGTCGGTTCCGACGCCGTTTTTTTACCGGTTCCGTCGCCGTTGTTTGACCGGTTCAGGCTCCGGTTCCAATCCTGGAGCCGTTTTTTTGCCGTTTCCGGTCGCCGTTTTTTTGCCGTCTCCATGTTCGAGGGGCATTTTTTTTGAAACGGTTAAAAAACGGCTCTGCCGTTTCTGGGGCCCACAAAGTGCCCGACCCGACGCCAGGGGTGGGGGGTCCAGCGCCAATCCAAGAAATCCGCGCGGACCTCTGAGAGTTCATGGTTGTGCAGATGCGACTTCTTCTAAGCCAGGCCGGCATACGGCGAAGATGAGTGGTCGTCCAGGATCGCGCTCAGGACGCCCCGGAGCGCTCTGAGACGGCTGCGGCACCCGATGCATCCTCCAGACCAGCCCCCCGTCAGAGATTCCCGATACCATCTCGATCCAGATTTCTTCTCATCAAGGGCGCCCTCGAGGGCGCGAAGTTATTCGCGCTTCGCGCCTCGCGGTTCGGCTCCGATTCCTCCTTATCCTCCTCTTCTCCCCTGGGGGGCGGCGCGAGAGCGCGAAGTTGTTCGCGCTTCGCGCAGCGCGAAGCGCGAAGCTGGGAGCCCTTGGATGCCATCTCCATCCAGATTTTTTCTCGCCTTGCGTTCGTCTTCCATCCATCGATCGGTCGGTCGAGGCTCGACGGTCGTTGGCTGCTGGGCGCGTGGTTGGCCCCGGTTGGGCCTGCGGAGGCCTCCTAACAACGTCGGTCGCCGTCGTCCGTTGGTCGCCGGTCGTCGCCGCCGTCGTCATCGTCGTCGTCGTCGTTGTCGCCATCGTCGTCGTCATCGGTAATTTCGTCAATGTCGTCCTTGTTGTCGTCAATATCGTCGTCCTTGTCGTCGACGTCGTCGTCGTCTCCGTCGTCGTCGTCGTCGTCATTATTGCCGTCGTCGTGTCTCGCGTCGTCGTCCTCTTCGTCGTCTCCGCCGTCCTCAGTGTCGTCGTCTCTCTCATCAGCCTCGAGCCTTGATGTCGTCGTCGTCCGTAGTCGTTGTAGTGGCCATCGTGTCAGACACCGAGGGTCACCTGTGACGATGCGGAGGACGCCGACGACGAGGCGTGGCCCCATCGCGCGACGGCGACGGCGAGGTTTCTGGAGGTTTCCGCAGCTTTCGGCGGTCTTCGGGGCATTCGAAGTTCGGGACTCTTTGTCGATGTTCAGTGTTGTTCGGCAGGTTCCACATGCCTTCCGAGGATTCCAGGGGGTGGGGGGGCTCTGCGCAGGTCTGGGGGAGGAAGGATGGCAACGACAAGCTGGGCCCCCCTCGAGGGGGAAGGGGACACAGAATCAGAGAGCGAGTTCCCTTCCCCAGCTCCTTTCCTCCCTCCTCTCCTTCCCCGTCTTTTTTGGTTCCCTGACGTTCCGCGCCGTGAACAAGATGGGAGATCCTTCGCTGACTGTAGTCTCCGCGGGCCCTCACCCGGCCCCGGGGCCGTCGAGCAACGACACGGGATGATAAGCCCGTCCCCAGAAAGGTCAGGAGGGGAAAAAACACACAGACACAATTAATCGTCGATTCCCCAGAAAAGATGGGAAAGTATGGGAAGTAAGGGGGAAGACAAAAACCAAGAAAGTATGGGAAAATATGGGGAATCATTTTATTTGTGTGTATTAATTTGTGTGTCCCAGGGCCCCTTCAAAAGGGTCCAGACTTCTGGGGAGCCGCGTTGCGAATAAATCACTACGCCGGAGGTCTGGGTTGGTCGGTGAGAAGCCTTGCGCCAGACGGCGCGCGAGCAGGGTGAAAGAGAAACGACCGCGCCTGCGACAGGGCCCCTCGGCACTCCATCCAGAAACAGGCATTGCAAGCATGTGTGGCTGAAAACGTGTCAGAGAGGAGGAGGAGGAGGAGGAGGAGGAGGAGGAGGAGGAGGAGGAGGAGGAGTTGGGAGGAATAAGAGGAGGAGGAGGAGGAGGAGGAGGAGGAGGAGGAGGAGGAGGAGGAGGAGGAAAGGAAGGGCAGGCAGTGGCGTAATTGGCCTGGGTAGAGTTTCCTTGTGCTCGGCGGCCTGCGCTGCAGAGCCTGCTTCGTGGCACACGCTGGCCCCACTCGCCTCCGCCCTCTCTCCATCCGAGACCCCGACGTCCCGACTTTCCCAGGGCCCCGTCTTCATCCCGAGCCCTTCTCTGACCGCCCCGGGCCTGGGAAAGGGGGACCCCCCCGGAGACCGACGATGGCCACCACGCGAGAGGGGTTTACGGGTGGTAGCCCCGAGGGTCCATCTTGATCCGAGCTGTTCGACTCTATAAATCTATATATATATATATAACATATATATATGTATATATATATATCAATGTATAAATATATAAATCTCTCTCTATATATATGTATATATCGGCTCGGGTCTGCCCGATCCGACTCGACTCTGATATTCCGACGGTCCGTTGCGGCCCGATGCTTGCGTGGCGCTGTTGTGCACCCTGGCGCAGCCGATGCGACTCGGCGGTCTCGACTCCGTGCCGATCCGGCGCACGCTTTGATCCGATCCGATGTTTCGATCGATCCTGCCCCCCGCCGAGTGGGAAGGGTCAAGCAGTGGCGAAGCGTCTTGACCCACCAGGGACAGGTCTGAAAACCCTTCGTGGTCTGTCAGACACGTTCGTAGAGCATTCCTGGGTGGGACAGGTTCGTTTCAAGACATCGGCTCTGTGGTATGAGATGGTTATGTTTTTGTTCACTCTGGGCACCTCTGTGCTTCATGCTTTATTTCGGGCGTTCGGGGTGCTCTGGCGCCTGCTTGGCCGGATGGTGCCGCATGCAGAGGTTGGCCAGGCCTCTTAATTCTTGACGACTGCTTTCTCCGGACGGGGCTCGACAGCTACTTACTCCCGGGGAGGCTGGGCCGCTCGGGAAGAAGTTTGTTATTTAATCGCTTATTCCGCCGGCCCTGGAGCCCTCTTTAGGGCCTCTTGGGGGCCTCTTGGGGACCTCTTGGGAGTCTCTTGGGGCTCCTTGGCGGCGTCTTGGGGGCCCCCAGCGCCTCTTGGGGGGCTCTTGTGGGCCTCTTGGGGCGGGAGGGGGGGTAGTCGATTGCGGCTCCCCCCTCAGAGGCCACGATCCTCGTGAGGGGTGTCGAAAATTTGCCCCGTCCGGGGTCTCCTCCCGGGACTTGCCCAGGGTACTATTCGCCCGGGGACCCCCAGGGGCCGCCCCGCGCGCGCGAACTAGAAATATTGTTAACCAGTTGCCGGAGATCTTAGCACGCCTCTGGCCCGTTGGGCCGGCGAATTTCAAGCACTGCGAGAACGCCCACCAAGAGAAGTCGGTTGAGGAGATATGCACCGGCTCATTCGACGTTGGCATTTGAGTGTGCCGGTGCAGTTCGCAGCCGGTGTCGCTAATGGGCGTGTGTGTTGCCAGGTATCGGTTGTTTTGCACGTCGGTTAGCCATCTTTCTTGGGTGCACTCCGAAGGCGATGCCGTGCACAAGTTGAATGCCCCTGAAGGCTTTCACTAAAGCTCGTTTCTGCTACAGGGTGTTCTGTCAGTCCTCGATTGTCACGGTGCTGACTTGTTCTGAGAACGTGACGCGTTTGGCCTTCAGGCGTGTTGGGACGGTCGGTTCATGGTCAAAAGGGGGGTGGCCGCGGCGAAGTCCGAACCCTACCCTCGCCGATCAGGCAACACAACACGATGGGCGGCGGGGTGAGGGTTCGGAATTCGTCGAACACTTGGCGAAATCCGAAGCAGATCCCCCCCGATCAGGCAACTGGATGGGCGGCGGGGTTAGGGTTCGGAATTCGTCGAACACTTGGCGACATCCGAAGCATACCCCCGCCCCCCATCGATTCAGCAGAGTCGATGGTTGGAGGCGGAGGAGGTGGAGGAGGAGGAGGAGGAAGAGGCGGAGGAGGAGGGGGTGGAGGGTGGGGCGAGGGGAGGGGGAGGGGCGGGATGATGATGATGATGATGATGATGATGATGATGATGATGATGATGATGATGATGATGATGATGATGATGATGATGATGATGATGATGATGATGCTGATGATGATGATGATGATGATGATGATGATGATGATGATGATGATGATGATGATGATGATGATGATGATGATGATGATGACTGATGCTGATGCTGATGCTGATGCTGATGCTGATGCTGATGCTGATGCTGATGCTGATGCTGATGCTGATGCTGATGCTGGTGCTGATGAGGAGGAGGAGGAGGAGGAGGAGGAGGAGGAAGAGGAGGAGGAGGAGGAGGAGGAGGGCGAGGAGGAGGAGCAGTAGGAGGAGGAGCAGTAGGAGGAGGGCTCGGATGCCGTCGCCTTGGGGGGGTCGCCCGAGCAGGTGAAGGCCAACCTCGTCCGGGGCGAGCCCGGGGCTCGGTGCCGCCCCGCGGCGCACGGTCGCGATGGCCGCCGCCGGGCCGTGCCGCCGTCGCGTCGCCGCCGCGTCGCCGCCGTCTGGTGCGCTCCTGTTGCCTGGTCGGTGGACCCAGACCCCCTCGAGTAATGAAAAAATCACGACGGGAGGTTTTTCCTAATTTTCGGCCTCGGGGGGCCCTCACCGGGCCTCGGGAGCGTCAAAAAACGACTCAGGGTGCAAAGCCGGTCATGGGGAAAGGGTCGGGACCTCTGGGGGTCGACGTAATGAAAAAATCATTACGTCGGGGGTCTGGGGAGGAGGGGTGCACACTGGCGGGTGGGGAGGGGAGGGTCCCCCCCTGAGACCGCTCCCCCCTGGGCTCAGGTCCTCTCTGTGTTCCCAGGTCAGCGCCCTGGAGAGCTAAGAGGGCTGTGAGAGAAGAAGCCGGCAGGCAGGGCTACGCCAGCGCCTCTCCCAAGGTCGGGTATAGCCAGGACCCCAGGTAAGGGGACCCGGTTAGTAGTAGTAGGGCCCCGGAGCCTCTAAATTGGCCAGAATCACTAAACCAAGTCTGCCGTAGCTGGTGTTTTTCGGGTTACGGCAATTACGGTTAGTGGAACGGGGCGGGGGGGCGTCCCCCAGTACACATCTTTAAACCAGGTCCCACCACACCCAGTTCTGCCTACGCCCGACAAGGCTCCCGGTCAGGCATCCTCGCAGCGGCCTGCCTGAGCCTCCAGCGTGTTCCGGCCAGCTTGTTCCTACTCGTTCCCAGTACCTGTGCCTGAAGCCTTTCCGCAGGTCCTTCGCAACTCCCTCGAAGCTCCTTCGAAGCTTGCTTTTCGAAGCTTGCAAGCTCCCCAGGCATACTTTCCAGCACCCTGGCAAGCGTCTCCCACAGGCGCTCGCCAAGCTTAAAAGCTCCACAGGCATGCTCCCAAGTATTCTGGCAATAATCTCTTACAAGCATTTTTATGCGCTTGAGACTGCCGCTCTCCGTGTTTGGGGTTATACAAGTGCGAAAACAAGAATTTGCGGGAGAGGCCGGACATCGGCGAGGCAATATGAGGCGGCAGGATCGAGCAGTCCGCTTTTATATTGTGTCGTGGCTACAGGTGGTTCGTGGAAGTGGGAGGGTGGGCAGCATGCGGAGCAGTATGGGGGGGTGCCGGGGGCGAGGAGCCGAGAGGAGGAGGGGGGAGGTCGGGGGCGAGGGGGAGGAGGAGGGCTGAGGAGGAGGCTGCGGATGAGGGGGTGGCAGTGGGAGAAAAAGGGCCGAGGAGGAGTAGGAAGGCTGAGGCTCAGGAGGAGGAGGAGGCTCAGGAGGAGGAGGAGGAGGAGGAGGCGTAGGAGGAGGCGTAGGAGGAGGAGGAGGAGGAGAAGGAGGAGGAGGAGAATTAGGAGGAGAGGTGGTGAATGAGGGGGAGGGACGGCGACGGGATTTGGCAGAAGTCGACGGATCAGGAGGAGGAGGGAGGGACCGAAGCGGAGGAGAGGGATGGAGAGAGGATTAGAGGGGATGGGGTCATCATCCTTCCTTTCTCCTTCGTCCCTCACCCACTCATCCACCCTCTTTCATCCCTCTCTTCCTTCCATCTCCTCCTCTTCCTTCTCCTCTTCCTCCTCCTCTTTCGTCATCCTCTTTCATCGGCCCTTTCATACAACACTCGCTTTCCCTCCAACCCTTCCCCTGCCCCTCCTCCTCCTCCTCCTCCTCCTCCTCCTTCTCCTCCTCGTCCTCCCTCTCCCTCCCTCCCTCCCTCCCTATCTCTTCCCTCCCTCCCTTCCTCCCTCCCTCCCTATCTACATCACGCTCCTGCCTCCTCGTCCCGCTTTCCTCCCCCGCCTCCTCCCTCCTCGTGCTCCTCCCTCTGCTGGCAGCGGGCGTGGCGCCCCCACATTAGCATTCAGAGGGCCCCTCCTCCCCCTTCCCCTCCTCCCCTATCCTCCTCCTCCCTCCGCCTCCTCCCTCCTCCTCCTCCTCCTCCTCCCTTCTCCTCCTCCTCCTCCTCCTCCTCCTCCTCCTCCTCCTCCTCCTCCCCCTCCTCCTCCTCCTCCTCCTCCTCCTCCTCCTCCTCCTCCTCCTTCTCTCTGCTCCTCCTCCTCCTCCTTCTCCTCCAGTGGCCCCCCAAGCCATGGTGAGCCCAGCGCCCAGCGCCCCCGGCCGGCCTGCTTCCCCTGTGGCTACCCCCCCCAGCTGTTACAGAATGAGGGTTCCGGGAGGCCCCACTGCAGAGAGGAGGGGGGCACGAGGCGCAGGAGGTGGAGGAGCAGCAGGAAGGGGTGAGGAGGACGACGGAGCGGGGGGAGGAGCGAGGGGGAGAGGGAGGCACGCCAGGTGCACCGGCGCCACATCTGGCATCCTGCCCCTTGCGCCCATCCCTTCCCCTGGCGCGGATCGGTTCTTCGTCCGCCGGCGCGTGTCGTAGCGGACCCCTATCGTTGTACGCGCAATCGAAAGCAAAGGGGGAGCTGCGCACGTTGGACGAGGAGAAGGTGGCGAATGAGAAGGAGGATGCACAGGAGGATTAGGATATAGGATGAGGAAGGAGGGAGGGCGAGGAGGAACGGCAGCAGCTGGAGCAGGAGTGGGAGAAGCTGAAAGAGCAGGGTGACCGGGGAACGGCGTGGGCGGGGGGAAGGAGCGGGGCGACGATGATGAGGAAGCACCTGGATCCAGAAAAGTGGCCCGCGCTGTGGCCAGCACGCCTCTCTGCAAGGCGGCAGCGGTGCGCCGATCTTGAGATGAGGCAGATTCTGCAGCGGGAGCGCGGCCTTGAAGGATTAGAAGCGCGGACACGAGGTCAGCGCTGCAGCGGGAGCTCCGTCTTGAGGGACCGATAGCGATCGAATTGCAAAACGCCACAAGGACAAACCAATGTTTGAAATCGAGTGTGGGAAAGCAGTGTAATTCAGGCAGAGTCAGGGAAGAGAGGAAAGTATAGGTTCTATTGTTCGATGGTGAGGAGTGGGGAGGGGAGGAGAGGCGGGAGAGGGAGAAAGAGGAGAACGAGAGGGCCTTGGTCCGGGCTGGGTTGGGCTGGCTCCGCCAAGGAGGAGGGACATGCTGAAGCGATTCGGGGCCCCCTACTTCAAGCCCGTGGCGCAGGCGCCCGTTTGCCTCCGCCTCCTCATCCTCGTGCCGCCTGGACACAGCCGCCCCGTGATGACAACAGGTCGGCCAGATGGGGCCCCCATCCAGTAATCGAGCCAAACACGGCACACACACATCATTTCTCGGAGATCTTGGCGGGCCGCATCGTTTCATATATCCTCTGGCCTGAGGCCAGCGCCGGGGGAGGGGGATCAGTCGATCCCTTTCACGCGCTCGCTCCGCTCTCGGGCCACGGTCCACCTCATTCGAGGGTGGACAGACCTCCTACCCTGACACGTCGATTAAGGAATTGGCCGTTCTCGGTTCGCGAAAGGGCGTCGCGGCCGTCATTTTGCGGGTTCAGGTCCGTCGGTTTCGGTCCCAGGCCGTCTTCACTAAAGGGAGGTTTACTAAAGGGAGGTTTGTCCAAAGCCGTGCTTGCCTAGCGCAAGTCAAGCTCGGGGGGGTTGCACCGTGGCGACTTCTTGAGTCGCATGGCAGTCGAGATTGTGCTGAGCAGAGTTCAGCCGGGCCTGGCTAGTATCATGGAGAGTATTAGTTTGACTATTTTGGAATATGTTTTGACTATTTTTATTTTTCGCCCAACATCCGCCTGCAGGGGGACACGCCCGACCTAAGAGTAGAGTTGGAGTTCATGTGTTTTGGTGGGGGGTGAAACATTCAGGAGGGGAAAAAACATACAGGCACAAGTAATCGCCGATTCCCCAGGATGTATGGGAAAATATGGGAAGTAGGGGGGGCAGACAAAAACCCAGAAAACATTGGAAAATATGGGGAATCCTTTTATTTGTGTGTATTTCTTTGTGTATCCCAGGGACCCCTCAAACATATTGTCTCGGAGGTCCGTGCCGATTCCTTGGATCGGCGCTGGACCCCCTCCTTGGCGCGCGGGGGGGGACCCAGCACTGGTCCAAGCAATCCGCGCGGACCTCCGAGGCAGCACTCAGGGGCAACGATAGGGGGGGATAGGCACAGGGGGGATGCATCGACCCCCAAATCGCCCATTGATCGCCGACAGGGGCCTGGTAGCCCCAACCTGCCCAGGAACGTGCAGTTTCACCATCGGGGGCCTATCGCCAATCTATCGGCAGTGTATCGCCGATTCCAGGTCGATGTTTCCCCCCTTTGCCTATCCCCCCCTATCGTTGCCCCTCAAGTACGTTTATACCGCGCTTGGTTTCTTAAAAGAGCGCCCTTGCGGCAGAAAGCCCTAAACAGCTTTGCGCAGCCACGAAGGGAGGGCACGATTGGCCACCTGCTTCGGCGTGAGAAGCGTTCGACTCGGCTTGCAGGCGAGCTGTTTTGGGAATCTCGTGTCTGTGTCCTTGCTCGGCGGTTGAGTGTCGTGCCCCAGCCGGGCGAGTGGTGGCAGCACCCGTCGTCGGATGTGGAGTGGTCGCTGCGTTTCCTTGGCCAAGGCGCCCGTGGATCCCGCTCGCGCCTCTGGAGCTTCCTCCTCCTCCTCCTCCTCCTCCTCCTCCTCCTCCTCCTCCTCCTCCTCCTCCTCCTCTCCTCCTCGTCGTCGTCGTCGTCGTCGTTGTCGTCGTCCTCCTCCTACGGGCAGGACTCCTAAGATGAGGACAGCCTTCTAGGGGCAACGGAGGCAGATCGCCGACAGAGGCCTGACATCCCACCCCGCCCTGGTTCGTGCGGATCCGCCATTGTGTGGGCTTGTCGCCTATATATATATATATATATATATATATATATATATAGGGGATGTATGGCCGATTCCGGGTTGATGCTGTGTCACAAGGGCCCCACGTTCTGGAGCGCCCCGTTGCTTCCTGTCCGCCACGTCGGGTCCCTGCTTGGGCTGTCCTTGCTTGCGGGGTCCTTGTCAAGACCATTTGGGACGGCAGACGAGGAGGAGGAGGAAGAGGAGGAGGAGGA